TCGTGACGTGTATGGTGGCTCCAGTTGAACCAAAATCTTATAAATTGTTCATGAGTGTTTTAAGTAGTTCAAAAAACTCGTAGATCGTGTTTTATCATGTATAAAAGCACTCGGCTACGCCTCGTGCTTTTATACCTGATAAAACACTCCTACTCGTTTTTTAAACACTACATAACAAATAAATGGAATTTAACAATAACAATAACAACTTCACTTGCTAATTATCGTAAACTAATCTCGTAATCTGAGTTATGGTCACTACCGTTAAAGGCCGGTTTAGGCGGTACGATTTTCGCCTTCAACTATCGTATACAATACGCTCGCGTCTGTCGTAGGCGAGTTGTAGGCTTGATTTACACGCTACGACTCGAGTTGTAGGATGGCGCGAGCGTGTTGTATACGATAGTTGTATGCGAAAATCGTACCGTCTAAACCGGCCTTAAGTAAAAATCATAGAAGAGTAAGAAATAAACTGCAACGTAACAAGTTGAAATAGTGCCGATTAGAAAAGAAAAGAACCTAAATTGTTTTGACACTGGGAATACAATTCCCCTCGGGTCACTCACCTGTCTCGGAAGCCCATATTTCTTCTCCACCGAACTACACAACAACAGCAATAAGGAAAACACGATCATACAACACTGAAGCATCATGCAGTCGATGGGCTGATCAACATCATTTAATGGCTAGTTTACAAACCAAACCGGAAACAGGCTCTGGGCCGATCTAATTAAGGACATGGCTAACTCAAAGATCGAATTGAAAATTGGCTTGTCATGCAGGTAATGTTTTGTCAGTTGGGAGCGAGAGGAAAATCAGAAAACCTGGAGAAAAAGCGTCGAATCAAGGAAAGGACTTACAAACTATTCTTACATGCGATCCAAAGTCCAGGAATCCAGCTTGCCGGACCCCAGAGGTGAGAGAGTGTATGCTCCGCTCTTGATTTCTACATTACTGTTCTTCGTGTTGAGTCTCGCTCCACAAACAAACAACATAAATGGAATCACGGACCCCGCTACTAAGGTGTACCACTGTTCGTATTTTCTTCAAAACATACATAAGACTACTTGAGCTTTATGGCTTACAAACTCGGTAAATTGGTGCAAACGGCTATATAGGTCCGCATCCATGACAACAGACCAAATCCATTTGGCCGAAATTTTTTCCCATTTCAGATCACTTGTTGTTCTCTTGAAAATAAGATTCTTTGTTTGAGTTGTGTCCACATTCATGCGTCTTCTCGTGAGCAGCCGTTAAGCAAAGAAACAATACTCTAGGGAATGACACGGGGTCTGTAATGGGAAAACATTACACCCACGTGGAATTGGTCCACTGTCAATCAACGTTTCGGCGTATAAACAACTACTATATGCAAGACGTCTTTTTGGCTCAAATATTTATTTTACGTTACTTTACATCAAGTTTCATTAATCAGTTATACAATGCAATGCTGCAGATTTATTCTGCTGGACCAAGGCCTTCATATCAAATATTGATATCTTACTGGATAATTCTGTACAGAATGTTACATCAGATTTTATAAATCCATTCAATTTGCTTTAGTATTCACAATTCCGACTACCCTTACTTACTGTTGCTAAGTATCACAAGCTCAACAAATTAGCTAGAATATCTCAGAATTGAAAACTCTGATCGCGGAAAATAAATCAAAGATTTAATGCCCTGAGAAAAGAAAAGAAAATTGCCTTGAAGTACTCTTTAAAACAAATACTGCGTAGTTGTTTGTGGGACAAGATTTGAATTCCACTATTGTCTGGGTCGGACCTATGCATTCTGCTCACGCATAAACAATTGAGGAAGAAATTGAGAAAGTCATAACGATCAAGGTAATGAGCACGTGATCGATATGGAAGGCAAAGTGTGACAGGAGCTGAATGACTGCTGTCCTCCCTAGTCAGTAGACTATCAGTGAAGGGTTTACATTTCTACTGAAGAAACGTTTTGAGTTTTGATGCATTGGGAATGAAATTACGCAGTCATTTGGGTTTGTTTTTTATGGCAGCGAAACCGTCCAATCTCTAAAAAAACTAACCGTCCGTTTTAGTCGACGGTATTGGAAATCCTTGTTTTAGAATCAAAAAATATTTTAAACAAACTAACGTACAATGTATAATGTTTTAATTGATCTAGTGCTACAAGACGATGAATATGCGAAAACTGATCATGAAACCATGGCCACTTAGACCTGTTAGATAGCGAGAACCAATCAAAATGTAGAATGAAAACAAAGTTTTCCAACTCAATCAGAAACCCGCCTGTACTGTACGAGAACAGTTATAAGTGAATCCAAGGTTGAGGAAAAACTGGGTCGAGTTTGCTTTGCAGTGCATTTTGGGGCTGTTTTAGAGGAAATATTTCCAAGATGACATCTATTTAGTCCGCTAAAACAGTCCCACAATGGCACAGCCTCCCTCAATCTCGGAATGGCTTATATATGGCCATAATGTTACGTGTAAACAAATAGATCGTCTTTTTCTCGTGGAAACAAAAAAAAAATGTTGAAAACCGGTTGCTTTTTTCTGCTGATTTCTGTTTGGCTCCACTATCCCGGTTTAAGTATACGCACACCAAAAATCAATGTCGAATCAAACTGTTCTTTGTACACAGGAAGCCCAGTTATAGGGTATCACTAGAGGATTGGCCCTTCATTACTCCAGACAGAACACTTGATTGAAGGATTCATCGGGCTTTTTCCTTTGCACTTGAATGCTTCGGAAAACTCGTAGGAGTTTGATAGCGTTCCGATCACCCTGAGGATTTAGTGAAGAACAAATGACTTCAGTCCCTTATACCTTTACTGAGATTTTAAATATGATTACTCGTCATGTTTTATATAATGTTGTTTGTACAAGGAAGATATATGAACCTTTATCCGTCACGTGGCACCCATGTTGAATGAATAATTAATAGATTTCCCAGCGTGGCCTCACATCCAATAAATGCTTTAAGATGAGGTTACGGATGGTTAAACAATGTTTTACTGTGCGACTACAACCAAGGCCAACCAGACAAATTTTCATACAAATTAGCCAATCACGATTGAGTATTTAAACAATAGAATCTTTATCTTTACATTTTATACGTGTATGATCAAAAGCCACTAATTCATCACTCAATTATGCAGAGTTAAAAATGTAATTCGTGAATTTGATATAATATTTGTTTGGGTGGCCGTGGTTGACGTAGTCGCACTGTAACATGGCAAAGTGTGATAAAAATTCATCAGAACAGAAAACACCTTTCACCAACTCAAAACAAAAACAAAAAAACGCCGGATTGAATATCTATGATAAGTCAAGAACATGAGTTTGCACTCAAATACAAACCTGAATTTTTCCTCTGAGTGGTGGTCACTGAGTGTCGCCAGATACTGCTCCGTAGGTCTACTGTTACTGCAATACGCCTGCCATCAAAGACAAAGCACCAAAAATGATATAGATATTAAATGCAAATAAGGAGATAATAYTCTGTCCATAGCGAGGAGAACGTGAATTCAGGGCATTTTTAATCCGGGTGCGTACATTAGTTGACTGAAATTGATCCCTATAAATTAAGGGTATTCCAGCGGTTCTTGTACCCCTCCCTCCTCCTTTTGAAAATTTTAACTTTCTAAATAGTTAGACTTTTTAGGTTTATCGCCGATTTCGGATAAGGTGAACCCCCGGCACCCACTTTGCGAAGATTTGATCTGTGTAATACAATATTATGGCTCCACCAAGACAGCGGATCAGCAGATGGCATAGCAATTTCATCTGGAGAAAGACTCACTCACCTGTCCAAATCCAATGTAGAACAGCTGTTCATTGGTGAAATTCAGTCCAGGAAGCTTCCAAGTTTCATCGCCATTTTTCTTTAACCAATTATTGTACGCCTTCAAAATGGAAACAGTTTTGAGAATTTCAGCATTTCATGCCACCCTGCAGCAGACCAAAAGACTCTACGAAACGCTTGCAATTTATCCTCTTTCGGCTTTTTAAATGAGGTTTTCAGTTGAAATTTAAGACAACTAGAAACAAAAAGGAATTAAACATACCTTGATGGAGGATTTGAATCCACCATTGTCAGCAATATTTTCACCAAGAGTGAGTTTACCATTGATCTGTTGAAAGACATGAAGAACGCGATTATTGTATACTCCTTCCAGCTAGTTTTAAAAAGCTTACCGTGTTTAGCCAGGTTACTAGCCTGCGCGCAGAATGCTTGTAAGAATGAGCTGCCTGTTATATATATATAATAGAACACGAAATCCCGCATTAATTCGCAGACCGTCTTAACGACAGTTAAATTCGGTCTGCACGCAGGCTACCAGCTTACTAAAGTTTGTCGATTGAATTAAGTAACATACGACTGCCATGTGTGAATTGGCGCATGCGCATATGTTTTCGAGATGTAAAAGACCCTCCATGACACAGGAGACCCAATGAATCATACCATTTCATAACAAAGGTTATCTTACTGGGAATTTTCCTGCTACTTTGTAGTGTGAGTATTGTTTCTCAATACACTCAGCCTTAACATTAAATTCTTTGAGCGAGTTGCTTGACCACCACTGAGCCGTCAGCTCTCCTTTCTTGTTGAATTTCCTTCCTTGAATAAACAGAAACCATAAGAGCATGGTATAGTTAACTTGGTTAAACAACAACAAGACCGTTGACCGAGGCCTCGGTTTTTTCAACACATGGTCAAAATTAGTTAAATTTTCTCCAACTGTTGGCGTCATATCGTGGTATGATAAGAGGACATACCACGCAAGACCATCGGCAATGTTTTAAAACCTACCAGTATTGTCGAATCCATGTGTCATTTCATGCCCGAGAATGGAACCAATAGCACCGAAGGAAAGGGAACTGTTGATGAAAATACTAACAATTAGCAATATCTCCTTGGCTTTTTTTACTCCTTGGACTTCCTGTGGTGAGGACAAAAAAGTCGAAGGGGGAGGGGGGTGGGAGGGAGAAAGAAGAAGAGGAGATGCTGCTCCTCCCGTTTTTATCTCCCTCCTTCGTCCTCACTCCTCCTCCTCTTTCGTTTCTCGTTCCTAGTTCTTCTCTGCCATAAGATTTAACACAGGAATCCCAACGGAGAATATATGGGGTAGCCTCCGGAGGAGGTTACAATAGCCCTTCGCGATATTATATCCCGTGTTTTTGTCTTTTAATAACATTGCCAAGTTCTTGTGTTACGTTGTTATATTGGCATGACGTCAATGGCAGTCACGCAGCATACAATCAGCACGATTTTACTCCATACACAAATTAAACCACTGTTCTCACTATGGCTAACCCTTCTTTTTTATCACCTATCTTAATAAACTGTACTTACATTGGGCTTCCTTTGGGGTAGAAGAAAGGAGGTTGTAAGATTGCTGCTGGGATAACTGGGAAAAGAAAACAAGAATATTAGGGGTGAGAAATGAAAAAAAAAAGAAAGTCCAAATCCATGCGGGGGACCGCGCTACTTACTCATCTCATTTTCATTAAAACTGTACATGGCGTTAATAGTTTGAGGATCCATTGGCCACCTAAATGAGAGAAAAACAAAAGACGTAAATTGGTTGAAATGAAACTCATGCCGGAAAGAAGTAACGCGTATTAAACAAGAATACCGTGAAGCACTTGAGGTAGCGTAACGTTACACTGGAGGATTTACAACACGACGCCTTTTTGTTAAGTGGCACCAATTAAACTAAGCTTTGCTTTAGTAATTTCTGCTTAAACTTACTCTTCTCTATCAACAGGTTTTCTTAATTTCTTCAGCATTCTCTGGTGGGCCATCTTGAGTATAGCCATTCTGTTATTGAAGAGGGCGTTGTCCTTTATGATGACCTGTCGGTGACAATAATGACAATGTATTTGACTGATCATTGCAACAAAGAAAGATACTTTGTCGTTGTTAGTAATAATACCATTAATTTACTTACGACATTGTATTTCTTGAATTTCTTGATAAACTTCTTGCTGTCGATGAGATAAGTTGGAAAACCGACCTCGTCGCTCATTGCATCCGCCTATAACAAGGTAAAACTTATATCAGTTAAAACAATTCCAACTAAAACACGAGCTGCTCAAAATTGATCTTAGGTGACGAAAGGTACCCTCCTTCTCTTCACGCGTTCCATGGAATGTTAATCACTTGGAGTTCGTATTTACTGTTTTTATACAGCAGTTTTCGTATGACTGTGAAAAGCTCGCGGTACGAACGGTCGTGACACGACAAGAAATAAGCCATACCAATCATATTGCGTTAAATTTTACTCTCCGACACGGCACGGGCACGGTGCAGACACGGTGACCGCCAAGGTCATGGCACTGACAGACAAATCACATTGCGCAAGAAGAAAACCTGCGAAATAGCAGGTTTATAGCACTGAGCTTTTCACAGTCATATGAAAAATGCTGTATTACAGATACGCATATATGGTCTATATGCATAGATACGCATGAAATATATTCATCACTGTAATTCGACTTTTAAATATTTAGTTTTGGAAATATTTGAGCACAAAAGAGATACCGTGTGATTCCCACGCCTCCAGACTCTGTCTACATTGGGCAATGTTAAATGCCAACTGTAGTGACAGTCATGCAACACTTTTTACTCCTCCTTGACTCGCTCAAAACAATGACAAAACACCATACATCAGCTCACACCTGTTCTTCATGTCAATACCTTTTCTGACACCGCCGCCTTGGTAAGCTTGTCCATCCAGGGAAGAGAATTCACGTTGTCTTTGAATGCTTTACGAACTTCCAGAATCATTGACTTTGCCTAATTCAACAAAAATAGACCAAAATTTACTTAACTGTTGGAAACTTTGAGGTTTTTCGATTTTGAGAGTGCGCGCGCAGTAAAAAGCGCCAAAACAATATACTACAGTATAATTCCTGTTCTTTTTATGGTGGGTTTACAGCCTCACGCTAACGTACATCGAAGAGTGGATTTTACATTACGTTCCTTTATTTTCTTCAAATCAGCTGAATCAATGTCATGAAATATCGAATTATACTAGTAACTGGCCAAAACTGTCCACACTTAATCACTCGAGTTGAGTTGCATTACATTGTGGGATGGCTTTAGGGGAGGAAATAAACGTCATCTGGGAAATATGCTCCCTTTAACTATCCCATAATACACTGCAATGCCAAGTTTTCCCCTCAACCTCGGAAAGACTAATCATTAGGTTTTTTCTCTCTTTATCATTATAACTATTAACTTACCATTTCTTTGCTATGTTTGTCGAAATGTTTTCGGATATAAGCAGCACCTAGTATATCTCCCACCAACTCGTTAGTGTAGGAAACACATGTCTTCCATCGCTTCTTTTGACCTTTAGAACCAAGTACACTATCTCTGTATTTTGTCCGTGCATCTCTATAGGGCTTGGACAGAAAAGATACCTCATCTTGGATGACGTTCCACACAAGATAATTGGACAACACACTAAAAAACGCAACAGGACATCATCAGGTTAACATGCCGTCTTACTGCTTAAACGTTTACTTGATACAGTCTCCGGCGTGTAGCGAGATGGCTGGGGTGAGAGGGTACGACCGCCCATTCAAAAATTTGAATAAAAAGATTTATAAATCGTTACACCTTTTTTAATTTGCTTTTCTAGTTCGTAAAAATGACAAGTTTAATTTCTATGATTTAGAAGCTGAGCATGAAACGCGTACGCGCGTGTTTTGGCGGGAAAATGGTACATTCCTCTTCTTTGGTCAAGACCTCGCTACACTACTGTATAGACAGAGAATAAGTAAGTGAATACGTCCTTGATACTGTTGTAGCCTGAAATAAATTACAGCCTTATAACGGAGTTAGAACCCAGCAATAATAAGGCCGTATTCATTACTTATTCTCGATCTATTTTTATGCTGCTGATTTTCTAGTACAGTCTTTTAATGTACAGAAGTACGATCTAATAGTTAATCCTTGTTGCCCAGTTCTCGTTTACTGACTGACCAAATAAATGCATGCTTTACCTTTTTGGTGTGTTCTCGACTAACTTCATCAGCTTCTTCAAGTAAGGCAGAGCAGGTACGGTGAGCTCCTCGCTTTCTTGTATCTTGTCCGTCGTAAACATTGTGTTTAGATGATTAAGCCAGTCGTACTATGAAAAATAAATTCCAGTTATACAAAACGTTTTTCAAGCTCACTTCTTGACTTAATGGAGAAGCTTACTTCAGGCACTTCCTTCTTCAATTCCTTGACAGTCATCCTGTGAAACCAGCTTTCAATCTTGTCTGCATCAGGTACGCTGATCTAATGGATGCCAAACAACCGAATATTAAACTTAGCAAAAGACCTACAGACCTATTATTTCTCCAGTCTTACATCCGGTACCGTGTAAACGCAGCCGTATCGACGGTACTACATTGTACTTACATTTGCAAGTTGGGTTTCAAAGTCAATGATCCCCTGTGCACTCTTTTCAATGTTTTTTCCTCCGCCCAACAAAGTTCCAACATCGATGATAAATTGTTTGTAGGCTTTAATGATCTTTGATGAAAACATGAAAGAAATGATGATTAACTCGCTGAGTGTAGAATCAGTAATGACAATATGAGAAAATCATGAGTCGTACGTACCTTCTTGTTGTCAAAATATACTTCTCTAGAAAGGCTAGGTCCAGCTTGATCGATCTACACAACAGTTAAAATAATTTTGTTAATAGGTGAGGAACCGTAGCCTTCGCGCATGCGCTTGGGGATGAACAGCAGCGACTGCTTCTCACGTGGACCAGAGATCGGGACCGGTAAGACAATATATACTATTCTAAGTTTTCAAGTCTCGAGTCTTATTCGTAGTCATGTATTTTCTAGTGTACTCATTTATAAAATATTTTTCCATTTCAGCGTCCACTCCACTTTTACCTTCTCCACGCCTGAAACCGGCACACCCAAACTCCAACTGCCACCACCCCACTAACACCACCACCACCACCACTATCACCACCACCACACACACACACACACACACACACACACACACACACACACACACACACACACAAACGCTTTTACAGGTCCCACGCGATCACCAATAGTCGTACGAGTATATATGTGATGTGAATTTACTTAGGGGCTTCATGCATGAAAACAAGTTATTTAATTTAGCACCCTTTTCCTGCCTTGTCTCTCTTGTTAAATTACGATAGCTATTTGCTGCTTGTGATCTGTTTTACTTACATCTATAACATGCCTGCTGTTATTTACAGGATCATCACTAATATGCACAGAGAACAACGGTCCTCCAGCCGACGTATACTGCTTATGAATATAAAGAAGGATCTTCTTAAAATCCCAAGTCTTCTCATCCCAAACTTTATTCTTCTCGTCCATACTCCATCCTCCCATTTCCTTGATAAGTTTTTTTACTGGCTTGTCGCCGACTTTATCTATGGTATCCAAGTCCATACACGAGTGATAAATATCTGAAGGCATTTTCATGAGTTCTTTATTCGCTCCTTCAATACTTTTTATCCCAGCATTTAGAATCTCTCGTAAAGATTTTTCAACTTGACTGTTGAGTTTGGTAAAAGTAGAATAAGTAGATGAACTTCTTGGGATGGGATTTTTTTTCTTCCATCCCCCGCAAACATAATCGTAAAAATCCGTACAAGGATCAGACTTGAGGTTTAATGAACTTTTGATATAGTTAGCCACTTTTTTACACTCTTTGGTGTGGCATACCCCGCCGGCCTTGATAGTCGTCGCTTCGTCATGGGACCGAGCATATCTTGCAGATCTTATAGCTCCCCCTGTGCTTAAAAGTTCGTCAAAATAACTCTTCTTGTTTTCGCTTGTTGCTACGTGAATCACTGCTATTACCAGTAGAACTGTCAAGACACCGGTGATGGCCATGAAACGAGGTCCACATATTGACGACGATCTTTCTCCGATCACTTCATTACCGTCGGTGCCACCATTCGTTTGCCGTCTTTTTCTATCATCTCCCATTACAGATGTAATATTTGATAACCTTAAATTTTGGCGTCCCCTTTGTCCTGGCCCTATTCCCGTCCGTGTTATCTTATCTAAAGGTTTTTAGATTCTTTTCCTGTATTGGATTGTCGGTGAACGATTAATTATGGATTACGACAAGCAATGTCAAACCATTACGTCAGTTCCTCTGAACCGTGGACTTGAATGAGTACCTGTTTGCGCATGCGTGGTGATTTATTTTCGATGAATGAGATTGAAACCATTCTGTGTGCATAGTTCAAATTATAACATTTTTGCCCCGCACTCCTTTCTCGCTTCCTTCCTTTTATCTTTCCAAGGTTAGACCAATAATCATGTATATATAGTCATACAAAGTCGTCATTTCTAAGCGTCTAAAATCAGTGTGTGATCAAGATATCCCTTCATTCACCTGTTAATTACCCAATTCACATGAATCTGGTAAACAAAAAATATATAGTCGAAAAAATATTTTTTTACTCCGACGAAGGACTAGCGTCTGAAACGTCAGTAAGTTTTTCCAACTTTTCATGGTGTAAAATGTACCCTTTTATCATTACTGTTTCATTAGAAACACCGACGCAGCTCACACTAGCCTTTTAGCTAGTAATCTATTCTTCTCGAAAAAATCAATATTTTCTTAGGAGAGCAAAACAAAAAAATTGGATTTACATCGTGGATAGCCACACACTTCAAAAACCTATAACCTGAGAAATATACCTTTTCATGCTAACTTCTTTTCAACATACACCAAACAGTTGTTTTTGTAACATTGAAAGTTCTAAGAACATGTAAATATTTTGTTCAAACTCAAAGGGATATGAAGAAAAGTGATAATGACCTGATAATTTATATTTTTTGTCTTTAATATCAATTTACATTTACAATAATGTATACCGGTAACATATCCATCCTGTGCACGTTATATGCGCGCATGTAATATATACATAGATAGCAATAGTATTGCATGGCAATTAAAACAAACAGGAAAAAGATTGACAATTATACCTTAAAGTCACTAGCTATAGAGTGTCCTGTTCATTTGTGTAATATTCTGATTCAACAAAGTCTGTTTTGCTTATATTTCCACAAACATACCCGCCCCTGTTTGTTTTGTTTTGTTTGTTTTTGTGTGTTTTTTGTTTGTGTTCTTTCTTTTTCTGGCCAATAAAATGCTGATAATCCTGCTATAACATTTTCTATATCAGCGCTAAACCAATAAGATGGCTTTATAATTCATGACAGATTAATAGGAGCCATCTACAAAGCAGCTGGCGACGCAAGAAATAACACGAAAAAATGCGCACGGGAAAAAAAACACAGAACTGCTATATGATTACGACAAGGCACCTACATACAGGTAGACATATTATAATGTTTAAACAGCCAAACAGGCGAAAACCAACACAGCGCCATTCTTTAAATTGTAATTTGGTCCACCTGCGAATAAACCAAAGTTTGGTTCCTGGTCGCGTTTGGCGATCTCCCCTCTCTTCATGGCCATGGGGATAGCTGCTTTCTTCATCTCGTCGGGGATAAGATCACGTCTGTATGTGGCTTTGCGGTTGTTGGTGCAATGCATGGTCTGGGACATTTCACCTGACAAAATATCAAGAAAAAAAATTAATTACCTTTCTTTTTTTTTAGTTTGTATGGCCGCCATGTTGGCTGGGTTTAGTAGGATTATCTGACAGTGGTTCCTTCTTTGTCTCATATCATTTTATAGCTCATTTTATTTTCCAATCCCCAAACATACGTGTTTACATAATAATAATAATAATAATAATAATAATAATAATAATAATAATAATAATAATGTCTTTATTAAAGAAATGATAAAATACATACCATTAACGTGATTACAATCATAAAACTAAAAAACTGATTAAAAGATACTAATTACTAAAGATTATTCTATTTACAAATGAGTTTTTAAAACGTTGAGAATTAACTCCAGGTCTAATAAAATATGATTTCCTTAAATTATATTTGGACGTTTGTATTTTAGGCGCTATGCTATGCAAAGGATGGTCACTACTAACCGATTTCTTATATARCCTTGTGTCAAATTTATTTAAAAGATCCTGGATATTATAATGGTATGTTGTATAATTTCGTTTGTAACAGCGATCTAAAAAGTTTTGTACGGTGGTAAGCTCCGGAGGTGATGCTCCATAAAAATTCTCTTTCTAGTGACTGTTCTACTTAGCACTCACAAAAGTCATTTCAAAAGAATGCTGGGTTTACTGTAGCCGCTATCTCTCCTTTATTTTCTTTCTTCTTTTCGCGTTTTATCCCCCTACACCCGACGATATTTCCCTTCTTTTAATAGCAGGGATGTCTCTCCTATCCTCCCTCTCTAAATGCCTCTTCATAAATAATCTTTTTTCCCTTTTCGTTTCTTTCCTGGATAGGAATGGTGCTACAACTTACCACCGCCTCCGCATTTGTAGAAGACCACGATATCCAGTCCCTTTGATGCAGATCTCAGCCATTGGAACTCTTTATCTTTAGGACATTTGATATTTACTGAAAAAGGTTCAACTTGAAAACAAAAAGAAAGAATGAGAATATCATTCAACACCAACAAAATCGGCCATTACTTTTGCTTCTTGCGTGCACGCATCATCTTGCATGACATTTTGGAAGGAAAGACTTTTAAGTAGTTAGAAAGGGGCGGGTCATTTTCGAAATCTTCCTCCCTTGTCCAAACCTTCCCACGCCCTGCTTTCCGTCGTTGGTTTCTATTTTGGTTGCAGGAACGTCAGATTCCTTCTTCCTTTCTAACCTTAATATGAACGGCCCGATTTGCACTCGGGAAAGTAATTAAATGATCAATTAACTATACGTAAGGAAACCAATAAAACCAGATGACTGAAGCTCGATAGATAACAACATTGTTATCAGTTATGCAGTGACTTACTTAATGCAGGAGATAAAGGGTCTGTTATTGCTTGTGTTTGACTGCAGACAATTAAGATCACAGCTGATACAGCTAAAGTCCACATATTGTAATCGGCACCTAAATGAAGAGACAGGAAGCAATGGTTAACCACCTTCAACTCAGATATCTAAAGTCAAAGTAAGGTTGTACTATCGTAGGAAGGTGGTACGCACTACCTTCCACCACTCCCCCTTTTTTAATTAAAGGCAGCTTGACTATACAGTGAGAGAGAAGAGAGAGAAAGCAAAGATATTTATCGGTTAATTGAGTAATACCGCAATAACCAAATGGACCCTTGAATGCAGCCAAACAAGTTTTCTTTATTAAATTCCACGGTGATATTTTTAAGAAGCCTTCAAGAAAATATATGAATTATTTTGAAGGATTTTAGAAATAGATGTGTTGCCACTGAAGAGGGTTTGGAAAAGGGAAAAGCACTGGACCATGAGGGACACTAGAAGAGTTAATGCCAATGATTTGACATAGAATTGCTAGTGATTTGTCTTAGTAATAAGCAAATAAGAATTCACATTTAACATTGAAAATCTACTTTTTTTTCTAAACAGTAACTATTTTGCAAATTATATAAAATTGTTCATATATTATTTCTAATACAGAGTGCATAGCATTCATTAGTAGAACTTAAGGACCGTGAATCGTTTTCACTATACTTTCTCTCACAAGAAACATGGATCAAAACTACCTGCTTTGAACTCACTCTCTTATCATTTGCAAACAAAACTCTGATAAATAGTGTCGTAGAATAAAATAAATCTTAATATTATTTTTCTCTCTGTTGTTCTGACTGCTATTAGTCCATACAGTCCTAAACAGACCTCGGTAGAAGAAAGCTTTAATACGAACAAATTAGCGCAAGTTGATCAGAGAAAATGATGGCACCTGTTACGTACTGCATTTCCTTTCAAGCGTTTTACAAAACAAAAGATAAACATTTATTTAACACTTTATATAAATTTAAGGTTCACTAAAGATCACTGGATAAAAACAGATAAAAGGAATCCTTAATCAAGCCTTGTAATTTTTTTTTTCAAAGTTACAATCAATACGACAGTTTGAAGACAATCTGTCAGGCGCTTAATTCTCGTGAGATTCAGCCCGTAAAAATATCTCACATCAATGCATCATTTACTTTTCTTAAAGTGCTTGGATATGATCTCGATATTGGAATAATATAGGATAGCGAAGAATCAAGAACTTCCCTTTTTCTGTGGTATATCGCTATTCTTTGAACTTTGTAAAGTACGAGTGGGCTGTGTTAAGAACCTTGAACAACCGTTAAGATATGCTCTGGTGACTATCTTGATGGCCACCTGACTGGCAAATTACCTTGCACTGTCTTTGCAAAATGATTAATTTACAGGTACAATTCCCATCCAAAGTCACAATATAAGTTTTTGAAATCAAATTAGGGGATAGTCTTACCTTTCTTTAAGAAAAAAAAATTCTTGATCGACTTGAAATTCTTAAAATGGCTGGAAGTGTTTATGTTAATACAAACTAAAGAAACGTTCGTAAATATTTGATGATGAATCTGTCAGAGACCGTAAAGTCAAGCAGGTAATGAGATAATGTTTTACCCGCGTCTAAAACTACGCATGCGTGTGATTGGCCTTATTTTCGTACCCAGACTATTCGAGTTTCGGTGGCATTAAGCTGAGGAGCTCTGGTAACGATAGAGTTTGTAGTTTTGAGCCTTCAATCCGAGTGGAATCAGCTGCGATTGAACGAATGGCTTCTAGTACTTTATACTGTTTCACTGATGATTTTAAACCCGTAATTTAACCGGCATCGTGGAAGCTGTTCATCTTGATACTCGGCCACCATTTTGTTATGTGCAGTTTCAACTTCCGGTTCAAGATTCACCRGACCAAAAGCCAGAGCCTCTGGTGCTGACCAAAAGGAACGTGGGCTCTGGGTACAAATATTATCCACAAATACGGCCCCACCCTCCCTCCCTCCCTGTGGGATTTGGTTTTCCTCGCAAGTAAAAGCAAAATGGTCAGTCAGTCTGCTATCACTTTTCTGCATAATACAGTTTATTTAATCAGTGCAAAAATCAATTTCCCGTTAAGACAAATCCGATACAAATTTCTCCAGCTGTGGCTGATGGTTAATGTAAACCAAATGTTCTAGTTAATGCTTTAGTTATAAATACCTATACCATCTTATTGGTCGAAAACTGTTACAACTTCATGGAGAGTCCAACACGCTGGTAATACATCCCATAACGGTTTTAGTATTTGTACTCGGCCTAATGTCTGAGTAATCTTGGTTGAAGACGACTCGAAAAGTCACCAAGACATTTTTAAAAATTCACATTTTATCGATATTCTTAAAACAGCCCCAGGGCGATAAAAGGTCAGGGCACAGCTATATACGGCTACTACTTACTTGAAAGCCATGTCCTTGTGTACTTTTAAAAATAGAACTTTCAGTGTGTTTGTATGGATGTATAAGTATACGTCCAGTGCGATATATATTTCTTAATTAACCAGCTAATGTGATTTACAGCGTCATCTATACGTCTACAGTGCTGTCATCAAATTGACTTTAAAAACACTTTAAAGAATGATTGCGAGGCAATCAGTAAAACGGCCTGACATATGGAATGGTTTAACAACGAAGAGATAAATATTATTAAAAAGGCAATAATGAAAAACATCTGGGACCTTGGGCTAGAAACGCTATTAAATAACTAGTCTTGAATGATGATTATAGATTAATAAGGAGTAAGGTTCGTATATATGATTTCTTTTTGCTACATTTGTAACATCATCATGATCTTCATCATCACCATCATCATCTACATCAATATTATCATTATCAGTCACCATCTTTTTGTGGTTATTTGGTTCTCATTTTTTCCGGGTCCAAACCGGTACTGTTTTTGGCATTTACCGTTTATTTTGTATTTACTTTGGATTAGGTTTTCTTTTCTTTTCTTTTCTTTTTGAAGGGTTTGGAGGAGAGACTTTTCAATTGACAGACCTGAGTGATGAATTCAGTAACTTTTTCCAGTTTGGCTTATTTGAAAAGATGTTATGATGAATCGAACGGACGAACGTTGCAGAGGTCTTTTTTTTTTCTTTTTTTTTTTTTTTTGACTTCCGTGCGTTTTGTCTTTAGGTATCCGACAAGCCTGCCGGCCAGCCCTACGAAGGGGAAGACGAAAAACAACCTAACTGCTCACAGGCAGTAATCGCATACACAACGTTCCAAGGTGCATCCGTGAGATGGTATGAAAGAACTGAGTGAGTATTGAAATGACAAGAACAGGTCTCCTGTTGCGATCGAATCTCGGATATCCTGAGCTCATTTCCGGTCCATAAGTGTTTTCTCTCCTCCCTGCAAAGCGAATAGACGACAGAATCTGTCATTTTGTTCATCCGATTTATGAATTATTTTCTTCTTGACGAATTTATTTTCGGTGCTGGGTAATTATATGAGTTCTAACGTCACTTCTTGTTGCTCTTTTGCAAGGCTTGAATTTCAATCATTTGTTTTGTTTATGAAAGGACCTGAACTTAGTTAAAGTACTTGGCAAGAGATACTAGAGGTCAAGGGCATAGAATTTCTCTGCATGTCACTTGGCCGAACGCCTTATAGATAACACAGACATCAAATGAGTTCATCAACTCATCATTCTTTTGTCAGCCCTTGCAAAATATTCTTCGAGTTTTACTACATTTAAAACCTTTCCTGCAATTTCTAAAGGCATATGCTAATAAGAAATATAAAAAAGGTTATAAAGCTGGAATATTATTTCAAAGGGAGGATTTTCTGTAAACGGAAGCTGAAACCGATTTAGAAGCGTTGTGGCGTGTTGCTTAGGAGTGTTGATGGAAAGCCGTCTTGGAGTCGTGACGTAATAATTTCCCTTGCAATTCTTCCATACGGAACCTTTACACGAAGCGGTCCTCGATCAGCGCTGACTTCGACAAATATCAAACTACTCAACTCTTTGTATATAAATCGATTCTGACTCTAATCGGATGTTAATAGGAAAGTGACAATGGCTTGGACAGCGATGGTTGTGACTGTGGTATTTCTTGTATGTGTTGTGAACGGCGATAATGAAGATTATGACCCATGCAAAGCAGGTATGTTTATCAAGTTTATTATAGCTCATGTTCTTTCACAGAATGCCATGATATGATTATCATACTTGTATCCTTATTTTCGAGCTCTTTCGTCGATCTTTAAAGATCTTTGACAGTAGAGAAATGTGTGTCCAAGGCGAAGGGAGTTTGACAGCCATGACATCTTGGAATCTCGAAAACAAGAGTTTATAAATCTACGGGAAATCTAAAATGTCAGCGATTCTAGAAGCACCAACAGCATATATATATGCTATAAAGATTCTCACATTCTTCTTGAAATCCCTCATTTATCTCACATCTCTTAAGGGGCTCGACTGAAGAAATTTCTGTACCAAAGATCGTTGATCTACACATGCACACAAAAAAATCCATTTCCGTTCTAGCTCAATTGTTGTCCTCGATATTCAGTTCGTCTCCCTGTTCTTGGTAGCAAAGCCGGACGACGGACTAACTTTACGACCACAACTATTTAATATTTAAGAATAATATATCTAGAGCGCAGTTCGTGGACAAACATTTGAAGGCTGCAACAGCTACTAGAAAGTTCCATGACCTTTTAAGTTCTTGACTGTTTAAAAAAGTTTAAAGCAAAGGTATTATTCTTTAGCTATCGCTAAACACCCATTTTGTTTTTGTTTAGGACCAGATAATATTAGACAAAAGTTGTCACGTCCATTACTTACTGAAGAGTTTTCTATAGTTTCAATATGCAGATTAGAAATTTAATCTGCAGTGTATAATGGCCGACAAAATATTATAAATATTATCTCATCACGCCTACCAGTTTTGCTGTCAAATTTTTCTCACTTCAAACTAATTATATATTGTTAATTGGGGTACTTTGAATGTGAGGAGATCATCGAGTGGTGGGTGCGAATCACTTGTATCAATAGTATGTCTGGACGTCGCACAGAATACCTAGTTATAGTTTTAGTAAAGTTACGTAGATATACACTTATCGTTTACACATCTCGGAAAAAATTCCTAAAATGATTCAATTAAAAATAACCATAATGATTTAATAAACGCAAGCGATATTTTATTCTAGATAACCATTATTATCTGAGATGGTTTATTTGATTTGTATAGAAACAGTTAAGCAAGACACGAACCTGGTGCCTTAATTTGATTAATGGACATTTGAATAAAGGCCTTGACATTATGGTGTCTGGCCAAAGAAAGCTTCTAGAAAACTTCTAGAACTTAGTGTGGAAAACTAATTAGAATAGTCAAGTTACCCAGACAAGGAAAAAAGAAAGAAGCCAGGATTTTAAGGCTAATAGATCCAACAATGATTCATCTTGTCATTAATTGTTTGTTTAATAATGCTGTTGTTCTTTGTTTTTTGTTTTCCGTTTTGTTTTGTTTTGTTGTTGTTTCGTTTCGATTTTTGTTTTCGTTTTGTTTTTGTTTTTTGTTGTTGTTTTGTTGTTGTTTTGTTTTGTTTTGAGGTTGGTTTTTTTTTTTGTGTTTTGTTTTGAGCGATTTTTTTGTTGTTTTTTTATTGTTTTTTGTTTTTGTTTTTGTTTTTGTTTTGTTTTTGTTTCTGTTTGCTTTTTGTTTTTGTTGTTATTGTTGTTGTTGTTGTTGTTGTTGTTGTTTGGTAAAGAGGGAAAGGAATGGGAGGAACAAGGAAAGGAGGAAAGAAATTAGGAAAATAAGAAAGACGAAAGGAAGAGAAGAAAGATGGAAGGGTGGGAGGAAGGAAGTGTGGGATTGGAGAGAGGAACGGAAGAATGGAAAAATGGGAGAAAGAGAGGAAAGAAATTAACGAAGGAAGGAACAGGAGTAAGAGAAGTATACCTATTTCCTTCATTTTTTCTTGCGATATGGACAGACGGGATTATTCAAGGTGACATAGCAACGAACAGACGACAAATGAGAACAAGACGAGCTGCGACAGCAGACAGGAACAGATTCTGGAAGGATGGAATGATCCCCTATGACATAGAGATCGACTATACAGGTGCGTGAGTGCGTGACACATGCATTGATGCCTGAATATACGATCTATTGTCTTCTACTTTGAGAAGTGCTTTGTCGGTATATAATAATGAAAAATCTACAGTCATTCTTTGCTTATCCAGGTGGTATGGTAGAGTGAAGGCAATTAACCCGTGAAGTAAAAATTATTAGTCAACGTGTAATAGTCAAATAGACACAAAAGAAAACAATGGAATTAGGGTCTACTAAAGTGTAWTAGTCTAATATCTATTTCACGGGTTTAATGACTTCACTCTAAATGTTGTCTAATATGTTATGTTAGGTCAAGTACATGTTTTCTTTTTTGCACTTATTACATTACCTATTAAGATGGGCATTTTTATTGGTAGTTTTTTTTTTCTTCTTCTTTCATATTCTACATCTGTTGATTTAATATTGATATAACAAACTCTAGCTCGTGGCTAAACAGAAACTGAAACTATTGAGAGAGAATCAAATCTAATTTGATGTGTTGGTTGTCTATTCCAGGGGAACAGAAGGCCACCATTCTACGTGCCATGCGACACTGGGAAAACTTCACGTGTCTGTCATTCATTGAAAAATCCGATCAGGACGATGACTATATATATTTCCACAACGGACGCTGCGGGTACGATAAGACTAACTATTATATATCTATCTTTAGTAGAATTTTAGACTTGAATATTATATAGAGTTTCGCGCGAAGTGATTGGTCGAGGGACCATGCCAGTGATTGTTAGACGATAATCACTGCTCGAGTGGTGATTATGAGGTTTTTCAAAGTTTGCCAGAGCAGAAGTATAAATACTAAAAGGTTTTTTATCCTATATTTCTACTTTTCTCTGATATTTAAGTCAAAATTATAATAAAACAATTATTATTCGCCGAAGGCGAATTGAAGACTAGCAGGCTCGGTAAATATTCACGGATGATCACTCCGCCTTCGGCGAATAATTGTTAAATATGCCAGCCGCCAGGGAGGGATTTATTTACTAAATCATCCAAAGGTTATTATACATGATGCACGTTTACTAGTGTGGTATCAAATCATTTCTTACGTGCCTCCAGTGTAATCGTTAGAAATATTTTGTAATCTTTTATAATCGGATTAAGAGAGCCTTAGGTGGCTTAAACATTTCATTTGCCTAGAGAACGAACACTGTGAAACAGTATTATGGTATTACCGCTATTTAATACTAAATAGTAATACTATCTAGCGCTAAATAAATATCTATAAGAGACGGTGTATTCGCGGCAGGAGGTGTTGAACGGTTTTGCATTGGGGTGTCATGACTGATTTTATTTCTTTCTCACTTCAAGTGACTCTTATTTACAAAATGAAAGTGAGGAGTAGAGATTTTTCCCTGAATAATTTTCAAAATTTTGGAGGGGGTTTCAAAAGTAATAACTTGCTACTTGGGTGATCTTACCAATATTTGATAATAATCTTTATTATTATTAATATATTATCCAATTCTCTCATCCCATTCCAAAAATTAGAACGTGGCCAATGACAAACCAGGTGCGCGCGTATGCAGCGATCCTCAAATCTCGGAGGCATCGTGGAATGATTTTACGGTGCAGTACGCAAAACTGTTCTAGCACAGTCAAACCCTTATAGTTGCCATAGCAGCGGTCATCGTATTCTTTATCTTTAGGTGCTGTTCGTTTGTTGGACGAAAAGGGAATGGGCGCCAAGGGATTTCTATTGGTAAAAATTGCGATAAATTTGGCATCGTGGTGCACGAGATTGGTCATGTGGTAGGGTTTTGGCACGAACACACACGGCCAGACCGACAGGAGTATGTTACGATAATCAATGAGAACATCAAGAAAGGTACCAGAAAATATACCATTTTTTTAGTTCTTAGAAATTTTGCCCTCGGGCTGGTGCTACCAAGAGTGTATACTCTCTCCTTGCTGCACAGTATGACACAGGGTCCCTTTCGAGGGACATTGCACTAATTCCAAGCCCCCTTAAATCCCCATACCCATCCCACGATCAACCCGTCATTATAAGGGCCAGAAACTAGATGGTTACTGCCAGGGTTTTTTACGTCCTCAATGGTTCTTTTACGTCCTTCCAATGCAGGATGAGACAGTTCGAAGAGACGGGAACTTTTAAAAATGGGCGTTTCGGCAATTTGTGAATCCCCCACATAGTCGGGACCCAAAACGATTCTAAAAAAGTAACAAATTCCCACCAAATCCCCAGATATCCCGTGGTATCTCACTACCTTTACTATACACTTGATTCTCTTGTAACATGCTGGTTACAGAAATGTAAATGCATATGGTTTTCGAATGAAAATATTACGCACAAATAAAGCTTTATTCGATTAATTCTTAGGCGAAGAACACAACTTTCAAAAGCTTACAAATCGAGATATTGACTCACGGAATGAGGACTACGACTATGGGTATGTACAACAGAACAGCGTATTGAAAAAAAGCCAAAGGTCAAATGCACTCCGCAGATCAATTGTGCAGCTAGCATCAATGAACTACTACTTTATATTTATTGACTTACTTTACTCTTTCAAAGAAATACTGCCATATTTTTTCCCCAGTTTTCGTCCCTTGCCCCTTTAATTTGTTAATAATCTATTGGTTGTAAAGATCTGTCTTAACTTATAGAGCGTTTTCACTCACGTGAGAAGGTATCCATAAACAATAGAAACTTTCTGCACCGTATTTGCATAAAAATAGAGTTCAATTCCCGGAGGATAGAAAATGTATTGTTTTGGTACCCCATAATGGCCGCTGTGACGTCACGTGAAAACGCTCTATAGCTGTCTTACTGCGATGTTGAGATATGGGAATGTTGGGAACGCAGACAACTCAGCTGGTATATGGCCTCTTTCTTCCCTTACGCCAACGGCACCTAAGAAAATACCGTAGGCGAATTTCATTTAAGAATAATACCATTGTATTAACCAAAACAAAGAAATGATACTCTAGTGAATGAACTTTCTGCACCGTATTTGCATAAAAATAGAGTTCAATTCCCGGAGGATAGAAAATGTATTGTTTTGGTACCCCATAATGGCCGCTGTGACGTCACGTGAAAACGCTCTATAGCTGTCTTACTGCGATGTTGAGATATTCTGCGAACTTCGACATTTCAACAGCTCGTTGTTATGTTGTTGCTGTAGCCAGTCAAGAACATAAAAGGTACCAACTCATTACTTTTGATTGATGCCGGCAGCTAAAAAAAACAATTGTGCAACTACGACTACGAAGTTCGCAAAATATCGAAAACAGAATAATAAAATATCTGTTATGGGTCTCGCGTTCCGATTGGTTGGGAAAGCGTGCATTAAGATAGCACACAGCTCGCGAGTGCATTTTCGACTTTGGCATTCGTATCCAAAATAATGCTTACTCTAATTTTTATTTCATTAAAGAAATAAATAAAAACTTTCTTACTGTGCTGTGTGAAGTTATAAAGCACAATGCTTATAGTATATTATATCGTAAGACAGCTTTATGGAACCGGGTCCCTTTGTCGTCCTAATTTTGAACCAACCATCTTTGTGACGTGTTTTCGCAGGTCCATCATGCATTACGGCAAGTATACTTTCTCAACGTCAAAAAACCACGTGACAATACTTCCCAAAAGAAATCCGTTTTCCAGGATGGTACCAATCATTGGTCAACGAGAAAAGCTTAGTAACGGAGACGTACGACAAACTCATAAGATGTATAGATGCCCGGGTAAGGACCAATGATAATTACCAGCTGAGTTTACCTTCACAACAAGTTCAAGGTCAACTAATCAGAATCGATGAATTAACCTCATATTTGGTTAGCATTTTCCATGATTCTGCCAAGAGAACCCATGAAATGTGAATCTTTTAAATTTATTATAAATGCCACTAGTTGGAACTCATGGTGGAATTCTAGCTCATTCAATACGAGAAATATACATCGTACTCAGCCCCTGTTAAGAAAATGCTAACCAAAAATAGTTGACCCATATTCCCCTTTGGGGAACGCAGACAACTCAGCTGGTATATGGCCTCTTTCTTCCCTTACGCCAACGGCACCTAAGAAAATACCGTAGGCGAATTTCATTTAA